ATATATAGGTTGTAAAGTGTGGTTCATTTCACATTTATTGCTGTAATTATACAAATGTGGCTCCATTATCATCGAAACTAAATGTTCATTTTCTTTCTATTTTTATAGGTTAGGCTCCAAGATTCTTGGATAGTTGTCAATAATATTCCAGCATGGATACAATACTGTTCAACATATCAACTTGTTCAAGTCAATTATTTATATTATTACTGCTTGGGATAATTATGACTTGTTTAAACATTGTATCTTCCATGACAATGCAAGACCAAACACCTTCAGCAACAGAATTTGGTGATAATTTTTTTAGAAGTAAGTACAATTTACCAAATAAGGTATAATAATCTTGTTGTTGTTGTTATTGTTATTTATTCAGGTAATTGTAAATAAACAAATAAATAATTGTACCTAATTATGAATTAACATTCATACTAGTTATATCATGATTTTGGTGGGCTTTCATTCATCCTTCTACTGTATGTAAATGTTATTCTGAGCAATCTCTCCTGTAATTGGCTGCACTATATTGTGTGTATTACTCTTAAAAATTAGAATGAAGGTTGACATAATAATGGACATTGTTTAGGTTATTGATTATTATCATATATAGCTTTTGATCAGTCCTTGAAATTTCATATTTTCAAGGTTTTTACCTTCACTCTGTTATTGATTGACATTCTGAAATCTCTATCATATTCGCTAATTTCCTTGATAACCTTCATATAAATATGTGCCCTTATAAAGTGTATAGTTTTATGAAGACCTCAATATCAATTACACTATTACTAACCTTCAAACTCTTATATAAATGTATAGAAAGTTGACATCTAAAGTTTGAGCTAACAAACAATTTGCATATGAATGTTAACAATAGTTTCTGTGAATTGTGAGTAGGTTGTTCTAATATACAACGGCAATGACGCATAGATTTCTAAAGAAGCCTTACTTAGTAACGTATTATCATTTAAACCACAAATCAAGCACACTCTCTTTGAAAGATAAACCAATGACAATTAGTGATTAGAATACAACAGAATTGTTGGGGTTTTTTTTGTATTGCAAAAAGTCAAAAAATATTCCCAAAAAGGATACGGAAGTATGACGTCTTTATACTTTCATTCCTTCATCTCTAAATTTATTTATATAAATCCTGGGACTCGCTGCTTTGTACTGTCACTGTCACACGACAAATCCAACTCCGCTCCCTGTGAACTATAGACGACGCAACACCGTCTGCTAATTGTCGAATCATCATTATAAACGATCCGTTGCGTGCGCGTCGTTGCGTTCTTCATAGAATCGCGTTGGCTGACGACCGTCGTGAGTGCCCGGCTTAAGTCTATAGAAATTCAGTTTCAGATTCAATTTTATTTGTCCAAATTTAGCCATAAATGATGGTCTTTACAATAAGTATTTATACTTATTAAGCAAAACTTAACAGGAAAGTAGAACTACTTAAGAGTTGACAAACTTGGTGACACTGACATAAACAATTTATTAGACATAAAATTTATGTTTAAGAAATAACAAATGTAGACTAAATAGAAGTACTACACATGAAAACAAACTAGTAGAGTACAATACGCAAGTTAAGGATGTGGTTTAATCTGAATTACATTGGCCTGTTATTAATTTACTGGATATATATTAAGTCTAAAGAATGTTTGTATTATTTCATGAGGAAGGTCATTTACTTTCCATAACTGTAATAATAGGCCTACCTCTTATTACGTGTTTGTGGTTGGTAGATATCCATTTCCTTGGATATTATTGTTGCTGATGTTGCTGAGGATAAGTGTCCCCAGTATTCTAACATCACCAAGCATCATGGCCTATCATTGATGGAGACGACCTGGATCTTTAGTTTTCAAAGTGTATGAATGGGAATTTATATTCTTTTTATACATACACTATTCAAATAAATTAAGTGTAATTTTTTGGTTTACATAATTTTATTACTTATGATACAATAGGCCTATTTATGCTATTTATTTTATTGTATTTTGGTTTGTTTATGTTTATATTTATTAATAGATCAGCTGACTCTCCATGAGTTACAGTAAAATTGTGCTTAACCTGCCCCAGACCAGAATTTGTTGTACTACTATTGTAAATGTGTATTGGTGAATAAATGAAATGACTTTTTATTAATTGATTTATTTTGTAATTACTGTACCACATATACAATAATGTAAAATAGCTGATAGATGAATGAAGTTAAATCCTAGCTATTCATATAGTTTGGGTTACATAGCCCAGTATTATGATTGGGTTTTATTATCTCTGATTCATGGTTCAGTAGTTTGATCTGATAGGTGGTATATCCATAGGTTCAACAGATAGTATATTTTTTTTCCAGTGTTGATGGATTAATAGTTATGACCCTGAGTCTTTAATGCTGTGAATTATTGCCATGATTGTTATGCATGGCTGTGTTTTTTGTGTGTTTTTCTACAAAAAATAGTAGAAGCTTTTAAATCTCTACAAGTGGAGAGTTCTACGCAAATCTGGGTCATTGTGTTAAGAATTAAACAATCATTCAGGCCTGATCTGTCAGTGGCTTTAAATCAGCAAACAGGGGCCTAAACTAACAACAGTGATTCCTGATGAGTGGTGAGCTTAAATAGGGGGCCATGTAGGGAGAAAAAAAAACCAATACAGTAGTTGGTTTTTGAATTATAAGCACTCAAATGTGCATACTGGTAGGTCAATGACATTCAAAAGCTAATAAATATTATCAATGTGACTTGTGACCATATTAAATTACCATGTATATAGTGTAATCCACCATATGTACTAAAACCTTATCCATGAGTAATGATTAATAGGTAATACTAATAGTTTAAATATTTGCACCCATTCATAATTGTCCTTTCATCATTGATAAACCATTTATTAACCCTCTGGATACCGGATTTTTTTGTAGTGCAAACCCTTGAATACCGGATTCTTTTGAAGTGTAACAAGGTTTTTTGCGTTTTTTGAGTATACGTCGTTCTGGTGGATTTTTGGGAACTTTCTGTAAATTATACAGAAAAATGTTTCCAAAAACAAAGAAAGCTTATAGAATAAGCTTTCATTTGATGTATAATTTATATTTTTTGGGAATTTTTTTTTCATAATATAATATAATATATATAATATAATAGAAATGACAGAAAAATGCTACATACAAATCGTCAGCAAAAACCGAAAAAAAAAAAATTATAGCCAAAAAAAAATAAAAACAAATATAAAACATTCCTATTCCACACAGTTATATAATTTATTTACCCAACCATCCATAACTATAAGCGCGATCTTTCCATTCAAAAGCGTCGACTACCCTCACATTTCTAGGCCTAGGCTCATCTTCATCAAGAAATCTCCGCCGTCAGAACTGCTTGAAGCCCCACCGTCATCATCGCTAAGTCTCGCACATCTAAAAATTCACCTTCATCGCTGTCTGAATCAAAAATCTGGTCAATCGCTTGCTCAGCTGTGTACACATCTTGTGTGGCCATTTCGAAAAATTTTTGAAATTAATAACGATTTCAAATTGATATTTCTTAAAATTTTTATATAAGCACATGTGAGTTCTTCACAGATTTCGAAAGACAAAAGCTTCACGCATGCGTGTTCAAAATTTCTGACGTATTGGAGCTAAAATAAAAACAGAAGAATGATTTGAAAACCACCTATTTTTTAGTCACTAAATTTCGATTGCAGTCGAAAATGGGAATTCTCGGTTTGAGGTCAATTTCGACTACAGTCAAAGACGGTATCTAGAGGGTTAAGTAGTGTGCTTTGGACTTCTACGGTTCTTTTAACTGGTGACATTTTGATCTTGGTAAAATCTTGATCGTAAACCCTCTGTTACTGTATTTAAATTTTTTTAAATCAAAATCAACATTTTTCATAATGTAATTCACAGGCAATAATTTGAAGCCATGTGATCTTTACTTTGCTTGGAGGTAACCATGGTAGTACTATATTCTCAAATGTTACTTATATATATTATATGATTTACAGAAGTCATATTGGCTCATTTTTGCATACAAGTATTATTCAGTCTTGACAACTGATAACCCTGAAACCATTTAAATCAATTTCAAGTAGCTCAATACTGCTGTATTTTTATAATTATCCATTATCATGTAAATAATTTTGCTTGTATATCTTATGATATCTTTCAGATTTAACAAGTAGTACTATTAAAGATAGCAGTCTTGCACATATTACACAAATACATATTATGGACGAGTGGCCTGCCATGCTCATTGGTGCAAATAACTCTATCCATGTTTTTGACTTAAATCAACAAGAGCGTACAGCAAAAATATTAGAATGGGTACCAGACTTGGATGCAAAAGGGATGTGCTATCTAAAAGGGAAAGAAGAGGAGGATTGTCAGAATTATATCAAAGTTATAACACCAGATAAAAGGAATGGGAAACTATTAATATGTGGAACCTATGCTCAAAAACCAAGATGTGTGAATTTAGAGGTGAGTTTTGTTGTTTTGTGTCATTTTCTAATAGCAATATGGCCTGTCTAAATGAGGCAAAACACTATGTGGAAAATCAATCCAACAAGATATTCAGTAGCCTGGTTCTCACGAGAGCCCTAGTATCCAGATTGGGAGC